ACCTGGAAAAAAGTCAGAGACCACAATTATCCTAATTTGGAAAGATTAAGAAGAAAAAGGAAAAAAGAAGAAAAGTTGAACTTTATCAAACATATACTGTGATATTAACAAGCTTCATACAGCTCCTTCATGAAGCAAAGAAAACACACTATAAGAGAAAGAAATTCTGTACTGCAGTCTTCATTGTACCACTTAATCTGTATAAATATATTAAATTTCACAAATAAAGGGCAATTTATAATCTAATCCTGTGGTTTTTAAACTTTTCATAAAAAATAAATGGAATCATTTTGTTTTCAAATGAAATGATTTCTCAATCTCCAATTCTAAAAAGGTAAAAACACAACTGCACTTCTGAAGAAGCCCTGTCTGTTCTAGCTCCCCTAACAAGTATTTCTAAAACACACTAGAAATCTGAAGAATACAGATTATTTCAAGAATCTAATTCTGTGCCCTCAAAGAGCAGAAAATTGAAGCTAAGAAGTAGTTAACTGACTTGCTAAAAATAATAGGTTTTTTTAAAAAGGTCTGAATCAGAAGCAGAACCCAAGCTTTCAGATTTCAAATACAGTTTTTGTGATTATCACCCACAACTACTCTTTGTAAACCTCATTTGAAAAACATATATATATAGCAGTGAAAAGATCAGAGCTAAGTGGGGACCTTAGAGATGGTCAAGTCCAGTGGTTTCCTAATTTTTTAAGGGTGGGGGAAGGATACAGCAGTGGAAACTTCTTCTATATAAAAGAAATACAGTAGAGACTCCTCAGCTGAGGAAGAGGTGGGGTCATGCGTGGAAGCTAGAGCTTTGCCTATTCAATGTCCATTACCCTGACCCCTGCACCAGACGCTGAGGCACCACACTGGAGCAGTTTCATAACAACTGTCTTGGTCAAATTGAGTTTATATATGAGAATATTCAGGTGCAGAAAGGTAAACCGACATACGCAAGGCTCCAAAGGTAGAACAGGGCTCACGTGTTTAGCGAAGAACATTTGTAGAAAATAGAAGGATTCCCACCTTCACTCAGAGATGGACGAATTGGTGGTGAAACCAATGGGCCAAATGTCTCTAAATCAAATCATCCAGTTCGCGATTGAGCCTTCAGCAACCAATAGCATTTCTCCAGATGAATGATGTCTGATTCCTCCACTGACAATCAAATCAAACAAGATTATAAAATTTCACTCTTCTCTTCTGGACAGTTACTTCATCCTGATAATGTAACTTCTAAAGATACATTTAAATTTCCCAGTTAAACTGTTAAAAAAATACCTAAAACAAAAACTCTGAAAGACAAATACATTATATCTAAAGTGGCATGAAAATTAAATTCAAATTAACATAAAAGAGCCTTTAAAATGGGAAAAATTTTTGCAATTTCCTATTAAGCAGGCTGTTTAATTCCAACGTGTAAAATGATAAATTGAGACATTTCTTTCTGGCTTCCCACACCGCTTTTATCTGTATTCACTTTGGTGATTTTAATCTCTATCTTGGATTTGAAAATTCTTTATCATAGTCTC